ACCACTTGGGGCCTTTTGTTAAATCAAAATTGGGACATACACACACACACACACACACACACACACACCTCACACGTTCGAGAAGTGCTTACATATCTCCCATAGATAAAAGCCGTACCTAGTTATAACGTCACGGACTTAACAATGTCATGTTCTGTACGGCGTATAGCCTCTATGACGTATTACGAATGTACCTGGCGAGCCGGTAGATGACCTCGCGCCGGTAGTCTGCGTCGGCGTTGAACAGCAGTCCGTTGACGGAGTAGCCGAGGGCCCGCAGCGCGTCCACGTCGGCCGCGGCCGCCAGGCGCTCCAGCCACTGCCGCACCGGCGCCAGCCGCCCCGCCGGCCCGGCCGCCCGCAGCGCGCCGCGCGCCATCTGCCGGGTGTACACACCATTACACACAACTAAAACAAAGCTTATTTCAGGGTACCCTTTGTAATAAAACTGGAAGATAGTTTCAACCACTGAGACGGAAATAAGGGAGTTCCCCCGAAAGTTTTACGAGAGTGCTGATTTTGTAGATGTTGATGAGCTTTTTAAACTGTCAAATACCAAGCGGTCACCGGTGACGGCAACCTATTGTTCTATAATTGTGTCTACAAAACCGGTACTTGACGAGTTAATTTTTAATCTAGGAAAAATGTCGGCCAAAAACCATTTTTTACATTATCTTTTATCCCATGCATTTGTAACGGAACGTTACATGATTATTCATGTTTCTTTATTGTTTTTAAAGTTGATGTTACGAATGTTGTTTTTTGTGTCTACGCGCCTCGGAATGCGGCGGTTTGCGGTATGAAGTGCGGGGGGAGTGTTCGCATGATATATGTCATCAGCACCGACATCAGTCGCCTCTAGGCTGAAATCAGAGCACACGTCTTGCATCTTGGTATTACCTCTCGACCGCACTAGCCGAGGCTATAGTAATCCTTGATTTTAGACATTGCACTATGAAATATTAACAGAACTTGAAAATATAAACCAATTCTTGGTGGAGTGCCTTCATAGTGCCATTTATCTCCAGATACCCCCGAACTAGGGTAAGTTTTGAATCAAATCGTATAATTTCATATAATTTTCTAAACTGTTGTGTATTTATTTGTATATTGGCAGTTGAACACATTAAGTATTTGCTATATTCTATATTGATATGGCCACAGGTGGCGTTTTGGTTGTCTTTGTCATTCCTTTTCGTTCCTCCATTTTTGATTTGTATTAGCTGTTGTTTTTCTATTATAATAAATGTGTTGAAAGAAATCTTATTCAAATTATTTGAAACCACTCAATACCTGAATAATAAGGAATTAGTTTTAAACATAAAGTTGCATAAATATGTGTAGAAGTAGTTAAATGTATGTGTAGGTTTTTCAAATAGTGTATTTGTTTATCAGTGTCTAGTACAAGTACCTATTTTATTCGATTGTGAAGTTTGTGTTGATAATAGATAATTTTTTGTTTTTTGAAAGACAGTAAGTTTTCGCAAAAATACAACGACTAGATTCAGGTAATGACCATAGGCAGTACTCAAGTTACGAGAATTGACCCAAGTCAAAGGTAGGTAATGTAAATATTATGTACTATAATGGATCTTTTATTTGATTTTCTTGTTTGATAATTCTTAAAAATATCAACTTAGACTTCGGGTTGTACTGATTTACATATTAATTTATTATTAATAATTATGTAATGTAATAACAAATGTACCGCTTATACTCGGCTCGGCCACATCCGGCCGCGCTTGTTATTGTTTTGTTTGTTGGTAGGTACCTACGTTCTTAAATTCGTAATATATTATGATTTTGAATAGATTATTTAGCAATTCGATAATTGAATTTGGTTCATCAAATTTATGCTTCATTATTAGTATAATTAATAGATGTTCAATTATTTGTAAGTTTTGTTGGCTTATTCCATAGCTGATGAAGTAGTTCACAAAAAATACGCGAGATGTCAGTGTATGTAATTTGGCGACAGAATAAACACTATAGTCAGAATTTTAATTAGATTCCAGATTTGACAATAGCTACTGTCATTTTGTGAAATAATGATACCACATATAATAGTGTAGTGATGAACACAAAAATCGATAAACAATCAGTGTGTGTGTTTTATAATAAATGTTACAGAAAGTGACAGGATAGCGATAGCGATGACGGCGACAATTTATAAAATAACTTATTACCATAATACATCTATCTGTTTTATTTGTCATGTTCCTTCATGATTACATTTTTTTATTTATTTCACACACAATTATAAAAGAAAAGTCTCAGATCGTAATTAATCGTCAAAACTAAATTATCGGTTCAGAAATATTGCATTTCCATATCGAATAATTTCGCAACGTCACTATTTAGTACTTGTCATAACGTTGCAACACTGAAATTGTCAAATCTGGAATCGAATTAAAATTCCGATTATAGATTTAAGTAATCGTTGCATGAATTGCTAAAATTTCTGTGATTTAGACTATGTGTTCTACTGAGTCTCCGTATCTTAGTTGTGACGGACTTTGACTTTCTCATTATATTAACTTCACCCTTTTCATGTATTTAGTTTTCTTGATAAAATTAGTTTGGTGAATTGTAGTTTCTCAAAGGATATTATTAAGTAATTGTAATTTTCTGTACATCATTTTTAGTAAATCTTTTTCATCTACCTCACATTTCTAAATATCATCTTTTGCTTAACTCGTCGAGTACCGGTTTTGCAGACACAATTATAGAACAATAGGTTGCGGTCACCGGTGACCGCTTGGTATTTGACAGTTTAATCATGCTTTTAACTCGTCGAGTACCGGTTTTGTAGACACAATTATAGAACAATAGGTTGCGGTCACCGGTGACCGCTTGGTGTTTGACAGTTTAAATTGTACCACGCTGCCTAGACTGCCTCATCTCGACGACTACTTAGTGCTAGGTTACCACTTTTCCTTCTTAGTATGTTGAGTGGCAGTCGGGACGATGCAGTCGCCGAATGGATTCGGGCTTTTTGTGATGCAAGCCAATAACCAATTCCAGGGTTCCCTCCTATCCGCTCTCCACGGGACTACTACTACCCAGAACCGGGACATTGCCGCCGAAGCCGTTGAAGAACGACCTGCGACTCTGACGGACATCTGCCAACCGGACGCCGACTGTGGTCCCCGCGCTTGCGGAATACTAGTGCAGGATAGTGGTGTTCCTTTCGGCGAACTATAATTTTGCGTGTGCTCGATATTTCGTACTCACTCCCGGCTCAACCGAGTAATTGTAATAATTTTTATTTCCGTAAAATAAATTTGTCGGCCTACCTTCAAATTTTCTTTCTTTTACATTAACTTATGTCAGAACCAACAAAGATTTATACACAGTTGCTTTCAAAAGTGACTATAGAAAATTACGGGATAAAAACAGACTAAAACTCGAGGTTCGTTATGGCAAAACAGCCCTCATGAATAAAAGTTTTCTTTGCATGGCACAACTGTTATATAATAAGATACCAGACAATGTAAAATCAATAAATTTAAATCAATTTAAAAAGACTGTACGGAAAATTCTCATTGACAAATGTTATTATTCAACAACAGACTTTCTAATTGATAAATTTTAACATTAAGTATTTCTTGACATTATTTTAACATTATGTATTTCTTGACATTGTTATTATTGTTTGTATTGAATTTGGAAACCTTAATTATTGCTTGCTATTATATTGAATCTGACAGCTTTTTCACCATATTTTGCATGCCAATATACGGGCAATATGTATACGGCTACTATATTATATCTGTAACAACCTATTTGTAATTACCTACATTTTGAGCAAATAAATGAAAAAAAAAAAAATTTTTTTTTATCGTTAGGCGTGCTACCTACCTCCAACGTGACAATGGTACACGCTCGTTTTATTCCGTACACTAGTAGGGTAAAACGGGTGGAGGTTACACATTTTATGAGAAAACGTTGTCTACAAAATTAACTTATTTACATTTTTCTACAATTTGTGTCTAGATAGATTTTTTTTTTTACAAAATACACACGATTTGGCGCCAGAACACCGCAAACAACATCTCAATGAGAATTTAGGAGGAAGATTATTTTTCACACTACGTGGAGGTAGACCAAGCTGAGCGTAGCGCGCCAGTCGTTGCGTTGTGATAAACACTTTCGAATCGCACATAAGTGATTTCGTCTTGGGCACTCATCGATATGTCATTTTGTCAAGTTTGAATCAGGAATATGCTAAGTAAGTTGTTGGAGCCTCTTTTCACCATGTCGGCAAAAGAGCTACATACTTTGTGGAACGGATTTTGAGCAGAATTCTTTTATCGTCTCTTTAATTTCAGTGAAAGAAACAGCAAGGTCATTTTTTTCTTTTAGGTCTTGTAAGGCATAGTGTTATATGAATGCCTTATTCTTCAGGGTTTGGTATTGCACAGTGGCGTGGGTAAAACTTTGGGATACTTTTCTGCAGAGGCTGCTGATTTCTTAATTTCTGTTCCGAATTCAGTTTGCCCTCGGAAGTAATATAGCAAATTTCTTGTAGGTATCTCCCAACTGACCCTGTCCATTGGTGAAGATCTGATGTAGATACAACTTCTGGTGGGTCAATTTTGGCTGGTTGTTCCCGGCAGAGGGTGCGGCGAGATATCCCGCTCCGGCAGCTGGCCATTTTACTCGTCTTTGTACACACTTCTTGTCATTATTAGTTAAAACTTTACTTCAGTTTGTAGTACTAATTCTCAAATATAATAAAAGTATAGTCCAAGTAATTTCTAAACTAGGTCCCTATTAATTTAATTCTTCAAAGTAAGCAATACTATTTTTGCATCGACACGTTTATACGCAACTGAAGCGATATGCGATGATGGTGTATTTGCTGTGGCATTATTTATTATGACAAGTTCCTAAAGTATGTACCACAATCACATGAGCGTTAAACCTATAAACGATTACACTATAAAAAACGCGCCGCTTGCACTACTTTCATGTGGTGTGGATTTTTTTTCCCAAAATACTTACCCATAATAATATTCTTTGCTTTGGCGCCAAAAGAACTTTTATTACAAAAATGCTATCCAGTCCAGATATAAATTGTAGAATATTGTGAGTAGTTTAATTTGGTAGTAAATGGTTTCCTCGTACAATGCACAGAAAAAGAAATATCGTAAAAAACTGTTTTGGACGCAGTTTTAAATCATGTCTGTTTCAGAGCTATCAAGTTAACATTTGAGTAATGTACATCACAAAGACATAATTCGATCCAACAAACAAACAAACTCTGAACAGTGTGTTACTTAGGCGTAGCTTTATAAGTTTAGTATCTATAGTATCGATTTAAGTAATCCATATACGGTACGGATGTGAACAAAGCTAAGAAAATATCGCGGCACTGACCTCGGCCGGTTTGGTGAAGTAGGCGTTGTCGCGCAGGATGTTACAGTTGCAGTGCACCAGCTCCGCGTACAGCGCCGCCGCCGCGCCCGCGCCCTGCTGCAGGCGCCGCGCGCCCGCGCCCGCGCCCCCGCGGACTCTGTCATGAGGCCCGCGCCCCCCGCCGCCCGCAGCAGGCAGGCGACGCCCAGCGCCGTGTCCCTGTACACGAGCTCCTCCGCGCAGCGCTGCACCACTGCCCGACACACAAGCATTCAATATTTCTATAAGTTTTAACATTATTTCTATTAAACCAATTTATAAAATACTAGCTGTTTCCCGCGACTTCGTCCGCGTATAATAATGACTTCTGCCAAATTTTGGATTTTTTAATTAGTCTTCTCCAAGGTTACTTGCAATGCTGTGTAATAAATCACATCAGAATTAATTTAGTTATATTTATTGCGAAATGTTGTTTATTTTCGTGAGTTAAAAAAAAAACAATCCCACAGGGATTTTACACGTATAGTATCAATTCCCGTGAGGTTTCATTGATTAAAACCCCATTTGAATTCCAATTAAATAGGTACAGCGATTGGAAACTATCAGGCGTCATTTTCCGAGTCTCAAACTGTCGTTGTACCGAATTACATTCAAATAGGTTCAATGGTTTAAGCTAAAGAGAGTCCCGAAATTTTTACGCATAGTTCCTGTCCCGTGAGATTTCCTTTTCAGTGCCAAACTATCGTTGAGACGAATTTGAATCAAATAGGTTCAACGGTTAATAAAATTAGTATTCACCCTCTTTGCATAGGTATGCAATTAACATTTGAGTAACATTTAACATTGAGGTAAATGATAAGAGAGGTACATCATGATAACAAAAAAATAATAATAAAAAATAAATCAAAGATCCATTGGCATGAAACTCACTTGTCAAAAATATGTTAGACAAAATAGAGAGGTATACACTTAATATTATAGATATGTGTATGTCTGTTTGTTTTGTTAGATATTGACGTGATTTTTTTATTGAGTGGAGATTATTGAAAGGATTAAAAGTAGCATAGGCTACATTTTGTTTCTTTCTGAGCCAAGAAACCTAAAATTAGTATCATATTTGTGATCAGCAAAACATCGGGCACCAATTCTTTATTATCTCTTGTAAACCTGCCCTCAATACTTTATAAAAAACTGCGTTTAAAAAACCGACTTCAAAAACGAATGACTAACGAAAAGTAAAAACTAAAAAGGAAAAAATTAACTATTATTGATCATACGTACTTATAGCTTACACACCCACTGATAGGTTAGAAGTCGGTGCCGACTGACTCTCGGCTCCTCATCATCACATCGACTCCAGACTTTTATCAAATTGTAGTGGTTTTCAATACTTAATGAAAAAATTACCAAATGCCGTAGTCGCCCCTATAATTTTTAAAAGTTCCCCTCGGTTTCCCTGGTCTTCCATTATCAGATCCTGATTTCCTTATCATGGGACCATTCTGAAACTATCTCCTTTCCAACAAAAAAATCGAATTTTTAAAATCGGTTCATAAACGACGGAGATATCGGCGAACAAACATAAAAAAGCATACCTCCTCCTTTTTTTGAAGTCGGTTAAAAAGAGCGCGAGCGAAACCGTGGGCAGAAGCTAGTCCATGAATAAAATGTATTTAGTTCATTGAATTCGTATTTTTTTCTTTAAAATCTCTGATTCTGATGCAGCTAAATATTATTATAAGTTAAACAGTTTTCAATTGGCAGTTAAAGTAAGCCTTTAACTGCCAATTGAAAACTGTATAAAATAAGCAATATAATGAGTTTTTAGGTAGAATTTCACACATCGGGTTACAGTGTCGAAACTTTTACTCTGTTCCCTTTTTTCTCTCTTATTAAATATAACGTATGTTTTAAGTCAAAGTCAAAATCATTTATTTCAATTAGACCAGGAAGGCACTCTTGAACGTCAAAACAAAATATTTAAATATTAAATGATAAGAAAAAATGTCAGTCTGTAGGTCAGTCCTCTAGTGAAGCTATTTGCTCGTTCCAAAGTGTAGATTCCTATCGAGACGAACGAGCAAGAAACTCCATAGGTTACTCTTTTTCAATCATGTTCACAATACAATATTTGGTTACATTCTTTCGTTGAGTTCAATTATGTGAGAACCAATATTTGGTCAAGGAGACTGAAAAAGAAAATAATCTTGAGGACCACAAATTTAATATAGTCTGGAGCTGACCAGTCCTAACTGCGCTGGAGTTGACAGCGCCCGTTCACGAACATGACATGTACACCAGCACCGCCCAACTCAACCATATTGTAGGGAATCGAGCGATCCACTGCCCGTGCCACTGCCAATGAGAATTTTGAGTGAGCATGACAATAGGCATGGCGACTACTTTTTAATTTTTTGTCCGTCTTTTAGATATTTTAAAAATCTTCGATACGTATTTTTTCTTTTTTCTCGTATCCAAAAAAACATGTAGATATTTTGAGTTAAAATGACGCGTGACGTCACACTTAGGTACGATTTCTCCGTAAGTGTGACGTCAACACCCCCCACTCCCTAACTTTAATGCGGAATAACTACGTATTCTTCTGTTAATTTGATAAAACAAAAAATACGTGTCTGATATTTTCGTGCGATCTTAATGACGGACTAATTACTTTTTTGATTTTTTTACCCTGTCGACACGCCTATTCCAAGGACCTGTTCCATTCCTGACAAAAATGCATTCTACTAATGATGTGTCATCAGCAAATAATACAATATGCGGTTCATTTTGAAATAAATAGGGCAAATCATTTATATATGTTAAAAATAGGAACGGACCTAGGTCCATTCCTATTTTATTATTATACTACAATACTAGTATTGTGCCCTGCGGTACGCCTAAGGCCATGCTAGCATCCTTTAAGTTAATTTTTTTTATTTGTATTTTTAAGTTACCTATCCTGAAGGTATGACTTTAACAGATTTAGCGATACATCCCGATTGCCGTAGTGTTCTAGCTTCAGCAATAGTGTCTCGTGTTCAAAACAGTCGAATGCCTTCGAAAGATCACAAAATATTCCGATGGCACCCCGTGCCTCTTCCCACGAGGCAAAAACTCGCTTAATTAGTGCTATTCCGGCGTCAGTTGTGCAGTGTCCCTGAGTGAACCCGTATTGTTGATCATGAAAGATAGAATTCATATTAAAGTGACGCAGCATCTGAGTAAGCATCAATCTTTCAAACACTTTACTGAGCACTGGCAAGATAAGAGACCGGCCTATAGTTATTAGGTTCTGCACTATCACCGGATTTAAACAATGGAACTACTTTACTATGTTTCATTAAATCCAGAAAAATTCCTTGATCTACACTTTTATTAAAAATGAATGCTAAATGAAGCGCTGTAGTATCTACAAAACAAAAGACCCGCACATCCTTACTGTGTTAATTATGTTCCAGGCAGTTCTTATTTTGTGACGCCGATCACAAAATAATTTTATTGTTAATGTACTGAGCCTTAGCATGCTTACAAACAATTTTAAATATTTTTGAGTATCAAGAAGTATCTAGATACATGACTGAAAATCCTCACTATTATTAAATTGTTTCATACCATATAACTCAAATCACAGAATAGAAATTTACATTTACATTTTTACGTTTTAAAGGGAAGATTTAATCGCATACATCTCAATGAGTATTCACTAGCATGTATTTGGCTGCATAATTCATTTTTTAATGACTCAATTTCATTATTTGTAATTTGCCTAAATAGAATTTTTCTTTTTTGTACAGTTGTTGTAGTGTTAAAACTGACTGTCTGGCCACTGTGATCAGGTGGTAATTTGTTTACAATGTCTTTATTTATTTAATAATAGTTACAAACAATATTATCCATACATGTTGCCGAGGTGGATTTTACTTAAAACTGGAAATAAATAAATATATACTTGGGTGGGCTCAAGGAAAACATTAGACAAGTTAAAAGATTTAAATTAATTATATCGAGTTGTTCTCCAAGATATCAACATTAAAATCGCCACATACTACGGTACACTTACTTATAACTTATAACTAAAAGTACGTTCATTATACCTAAATATTTATTTACAAAATTTAAATCTAATTGAAAACTAAATATATAAACACAACATTATATAACTACCCACTATTACTACTACTACACAAAGCTATTCCTTTTCTATTTTATACGTATTGGTCTACCCCAATAGTGTATAAATATGATGATGGTCTACCTCATACATTGTAATACTATCATATTGGTATTCTACGGAGCGGTGCAACTCCTTCAATAAGCCCTTGCAAGAGCGGTTGATTACTCTATAAATAAGCCTCAATCACAAACATAACTTTTAATTATTCTTCCTAAATCTATCATTTTATCAGTTAATATGTTATCAGCGGGTGGATGTTACAATATTTTGACTAAACAATGTTAACACGGAGTCTTGTCTATTCTTATGTACTTTACAAGCGACTCGCCCCGGCTTCGCACGGGTGCAATATGCATGTATTATACTTATAAACCTTCCTTAAGAATCACTCTATGTATTGAAACGAACCGCATCAAAATCCGTTGCGTAGTTTTAAAGATCTAAGCATACATGGGACAGACAGACGGCGGATAGCGACTTTGTTTTATACTGTGTGTAGTGATTAGCTGTAGACTTAAATATACCGCCACAAATATCAATGCATTAAACTTTTGTGCAATTTACTTAGTTATCTTCTGTTGGCTCATACATTAGTTTAAAAAGTTAGCCGTAGTACTACCCACATTTATAGTCAAATTATGAGTCTCCTTTGTAAAATCATCATCGATAATATAGGATTCCAACGGTAAAAGAATTTTTCAAATCGGTCCGGTAGTTTCGGATGAGATTCAATCCAAACAAACAAACATTAAATCTAATCTTTCCTCTTGTATGCGCTGCTGGCTGGCTGACAACAACTTGAGATTTAGATAGGAAAAAATCACTAATAGTCAAAGAATATCCGTCTATTATATACTTCGCTACCAAATAACTACCTAAAGCTATCTAGGTTGATGTGGTGAGTACTGATGTATATGAGCGCTGAGCGTGTACTGGCGCTTTATACACTGATTTGAGTAAAGCGATGTAAAAGTGCTGATGTGAAATCAAAATCGAAACGAACGTTCTTATTTTAGTCAGTTACAATAAATAGTACATTTAAGTGTAGGTAAGTGTAAGTTCAATAAGTAATAAAATTACTTTTTATTTTAAATTCACAAGCAAGTGACATTTTTTATATTTTTTCCCTCTTTATGAGACTCGCGAGAGGGGAATATTGAAAAATAAATTTGCAACACTGATAAAATACAGCGGCAATTAGCTAGGTCATAAACATAAATAGAATAATGTAATTTTTAATTACTTAACGATGGATTAGTGACCTGTTTAGAACTTTTTGACCGTTATTTATAATTTTAGCACAATTTATACCAACTTATTCTGTAGCGTACATGCACGTAGTGACGCCTGGGTGACACGATTGGTACTACTTGATAGGAAAGTGCATTGCAGTAAACAGAGTGTGACTGACACTTCATCCTTACATAATCAAAGTCTACAAAAAAGAACGCTAAAATATCGCTCACCTTCAGATTCCAACTCGCAAGTGACACCTTCCTCCAAGCAGTTCTGAATGTAGAACCACTTGAGCACGTTCTGTCCGACTGCCAGGGGGCCATCGGTGGCGTCGGGCAGGGAGAAGCGATCGTATCTGTAGTAGCAGGGCGACACGGCCAGCTCCGGGTACAGCGACTGGTAGAACTCCTGGCACTGCGCCGCGCCCTGCTCGGCCCCGCTCGCGGCGGCCGGCTGGCGGTCGCTGCAGGGGACAGCCGAGTGTTACGAATGCTCCGGTAGTACTGGTACGTCAAGTGCGGGAGAGCCATGCTGCTCACAAAACACCACTTGCGTTGTGATTCGTTGTGTTAGTGAGGTTACCGGAGGCTTAAATACTGCAATCTCCAGTCAATCCCCGAATCCCGAACAATTCTCAGATTCGTAATCCCCAATAACGCACTTGCAACGCCTCTGGTATTTCAGATGTCCATGAGCGGCGTCGTTTATCATTTATCGCGCGTATCATCAGGTGATGCGCCGGCTCGTTTACCAGCCCATAGAAAATATTTGTAGTAGTAGGATAGCTTGATGTACTAAATAGTAACTGCACGTATTCTATTCGATCGTCTTCTTTAGATATAAATAAGTTGAATATTTGTATCGTTTCATTTCAAGCTAAGGTTTTTATTATTTTACTAGCTGTCCCGCGACTCCGGTAAACTCTGCTCACTGACTCACCTGATAGCGAACTTATTCTGAAAAGTGTCCAGTAAGTAGTTAAACAGTGGAATCTTCACGTCTGATTGAGCGGGAACCAGGTCCTTTTTCTCCACCATAGGCTGCAAGATTAGATACAATATTACATTGCGGCTATGACGAGATGGACAAGTGTATATTTATGTATCTAACACATCTTCTCAGTCCTGCATTAAATGAGAAGTAGTGAAAAGGTGAGAACTAGGGTTTTTCTACTTCAATACAATATAATTATAAATAATAGGGAGGCTTGTTTCGCTTCGCTACTAGAGACTTCGGCTTAAGGCACTTGTCCCACCACCGACGAGAAAACGACTAACTATGGACTATTTTCTCTATCAAGAAACGTATATTAGATACACATTCCGCGTAAACAAAATACACGAATAGTTAATCGCTGACTCTCGCCGCCGACTGCCGAGCTCTCGCAAGAACTGCTATCAACTCGTTTCATCGTTGCCAGTGAAACAACCACCTAAAGAAGTTGCACCAAGAGAAACCAAATACTGACCGTTGTGACGGCGTCTGCAAATTCGTCATCAGTGGAAGGCCATCGCTCGCTGAGACTACTGTGTTCTCTGAGGGTCACACCCATTTGTTGCAGGCTTTCTAGTTCCAGAGCCATTCTGTTGACAAACAAGGTCGATCGGATACACCAATACTGCATAGTCAATTCTAGAATATCCATGTTCAACCGTTACAATCATGCAAAGATTAAGAATGAAACAGGAAAAGGTCACGAGTTTATTCGGGAAAATTGGAAAATGGTTGATTAGATAATTTATGGGCATTCCGTGTGAGCGGAGAACCAAAACCATAAGTGGTGATCAAAGGACATTGCTCTGCATCCAAACATTGTTGGCCCTGGAGCCAAGAGTATCGGATAATTATGTATTGTATTCTTTATCATTTGTGGGCTCTTAGAAGATCTTGTTTTTATAGCGGACTAGCTGCAGAATAGATATATTTCAAAAAGAGTATTAGATTTTAAGGTTATAATCTAACCATAACAACGAATATTTGAACGCACATGAACATGCCATGTCAGCATGATAATCCTACGTGAGATGAGTACTGAAAAACATACCTATTAATCTATACTTATAATAAATCTGTAGCGAGGTCAATTCTGTACATAAAATATATTTAAAAAATAACTATCAAGGGGTGGTTAGGGATCGCTTCTGATGCCAAAAATGCAATCAGTAAAATTTTTGTCTGTCTGTCTGTCTGTCTGTATGTTCGTTATGGAAACAAAAACTACTCGACAGATTTTAACGAAATTTAGCACAATTATTCTTCATACTCTTGGGCAGGTTATAGTATACTTTTCATTACGCTACGATCAATAGGAGCAGAGCAGTGAAGGGAAATATTGGGAAAACGGGAGAAGTTACTCCATTTTTTAAGCTTCCGTCGCGTGTGCAGGCTTAATAGTTAAAGCTACATAGAAATCATGTATGACGGAAATGTTCTACATAAAATTATCTAAATAATATCCCACAACAGCACATGTCTATCTTTTATGGTTGACTTACAATAACACGTGTAACTCCCGATAGCTTAGCAGTTCGGAGCTTTCTGCTTATATTTGTTTACTCTTACGTTTACAATACTCATCCATAGACTTTACGTTGTAACTGTAGGGTCGATGGCTGAAATTAGCTTGACTCGATATTATAAATGTGGAAATATGAGCTTATGTGTTTGTGTATGTTTGTTACTCAGTCATATTAAAACGACTGAAGGGACCGGAATGAAATTCGGAACAGAGGTAGAGTATGGTGTGAAGTAATACATTGGCATTTTTCCCCTGGAATCGCGGGCGAAGCCGCTGGCAGAAGCTAGTAATTAAATATACAACTAAGAAAATATCACGTACTCACGTAAAGATATAGCGCTGAGATGGTACATTACACGCATAGCACACAATCATAGTGTGGTATGTGTGTACATAGGATAAGTTTAGTATATAAGATCATGTAGAATAAGAAATAAATCAGTCACTAGATAATTCAGACTTTGACTCACTACCCTTCCTCCACCACTCGTGGAGGAAGCTCACTGTCAAGCCTCTCACTGTGGCCAAGACACCTTTAGCCATCAACCGATCTGTCGCGTGAGTCTGCTCGACAGGCAGTGAGAAACCCCTCACCACCATACCCATTTCCTATCCACATTCCGTCTGTCATCATAGGTCTCAGGTGGCAGATAGGGCTAGGGCACTAGGCGCGTACGAAGCGCAGGTCTGTATCACACATACCACCGTGTACACGATAGTACGTGCCTTAGGTCAAGGGCCTAGTAGTAGGTGCGTAGAAGTGCTGATCTGTATTCCAGTATACCACAGGGCACCAAGCGTATACGCATTATACGCTAGGCAACTATAGGATAGGATATTATAAGTGTTAGATTATCTAGGATAGTGTAGGATAACATTAGTTTGTAGTCATTAGGATGAGGTAGTCTTGTACAGTAGGAATTTACCGTTAAGCTACTACCCCGCTGTACAGAACGAATGTTGAATGTTTGTATCATTTTATAGAAATAACGAACTTTTGATAACTGTTTAATATTACTCTTACTACCTATTTAACTGCATTCATAAAGAAAAAAAAAACAATCGATCCATTATAACTGATTGGACATCCCTATTTCACTTTCGACACGACATTACATTAGACGTGCTGATTTATTTATTTATTACATTAGGCGAAAGCATTCCGCATTAAGGCGAAGATGGCGATCTAATGTTAATAATCGCGTTAAATTCTATTAAAAGTACATTTCGGAATACATCTAGTCCGTTATACAGAAGTATTTGCAATTTACATAATAAAATAGGAGATTTATTATCGTACATTCCGATACTCTTTATTGCACAGGGCCAATTTGGACATAGTCTTTTCTTTGTAATTCATCAAAATATAAAGTTTCATCTCCACTTTTGATTTATGGCCGTCCGCTTCACGAGGGATACCCCTCCGGCAGTACAGCGCGGTAAGACGAGGAGGTTTTACCTGTCGCGGAGGTTGGCCTCGATGTCCGCCGCCGGGCAGTGCGCCAGCGCCGCCGCCAGCAGCTGGCGCCGCGCGGCCGCGTCCGCGGGCTCGTATAGCGCCGCCGCCAGCTGCAGCACCTGCCCCTCCCTGCACACAGTGCGAGCACATACACACCGCGCCCCCCGCGCCCCCGCCCGCCATGGCGCGCGCCGCCGCCAGCTGCAGCACCTGCCCCTCCCTGCACACAGTGCGAGCACATACACACCGCGCCCCCCGCGCCCCCGCCCGCCATGGCGCGCGCCGCCGCCAGCTGCAGCACCTGCCCCTCCCTGCACACAGTGCGAGCACATACACACCGCGCCCCCCGCGCCCCCGCCCGCCATGGCGCGCGCCGCCGCCAGCTGCAGCACCTGCCCCTCCCTGCACACAGTGCGAGCACATACACACCGCGCCCCCCGCGCCCCCGCCCGCCATGGCGCGCGCCGCCGCCAGCTGCAGCACCTGCCCCTCCCTGCACACAGTGCGAGCACATACACACCGCGCCCCCCGCGCCCCCGCCCGCCATGGCGCGCGCCGCCGCCAGCTGCAGCACCTGCCCCTCCCTGCACACAGTGCGAGCACATACACACCGCGCCCCCCGCGCCCCCGCCCGCCATGGCGCGCGCCGCCGCCAGCTGCAGCACCTGCCCCTCCCTGCACACAGTGCGAGCACATACACACCGCGCCCCCCGCGCCCCCGCCCGCCATGGCGCGCGCCGCCGCCAGCTGCAGCACCTGCCCCTCCCTGCACACAGTGCGAGCACATACACACCGCGCCCCCCGCGCCCCCGCCCGCCATGGCGCGCGCCGCCGCCAGCTGCAGCACCTGCCCCTCCCTGCACACAGTGCGAGCACATACACACCGGCAACCCTATAGGGTAAGTAATATATATAAGCCCTCTGTGGCTCCGTAACGGCATCAGCCCTATTGGGCCCCATGTGTGATGGTCTGATGGCTCCTTGAGGCGCGCGCGGAATGCGACTCGCCGTACGCTCGGGTCTAGTTATGGTCGGGCGGCGCGGCGAGTCACCCGTGTTCGCCGTCCACAGGCCCGCGCTTACGGTGGCCGGAGATCGTCTCGCGATCCCCGACGCCCAGAGTGTCTCTTTAATATTCGTTCTTATCGTTATTCGTTCGCTATTCGTTCTCGCTCCGTATTATAGTTTGAACTAGAGCCGGACGCGAGAGGTCCCCGTCGCCGATCACATCCCTAAAGACACGGCAGTGCTCTGCCAACGCAAAGCACACCGCCACCGTATGCTTCACCTTGTCCTACGCCATAGCGTCGCTGAAGTCACTTCTCAAAGAGGGGACTTACCGCTGCAATGCCGGCGAGCCCAGCCCTCGGTTGCGACAGTCGTTGTTGCTATTCCGCCATGAGATCGCGCCAGAGGTCATCCCCCACGCACTAATCTGGCGCGGCAGCGGGGATGCGCCCCGGCGACGTGCCTCCGCGCGCAAACAAAATACGCGCGCGACCACCTTCGCCTCCAGATCCCATGGCGGTAATACGGCAAGGAGGTTCGCTGCCTCCCCGGAGATCGTGCGATATCCGCAAATCAATCGGGTCGCCATGACACTCTGAGATGTGAGCAGCGCCCGAGCGGGCCGACGCATCAAATTCGGCGCCCACACAGGGGCGCCGTAGACGGCCATGCACCGCACAACCCCCGCGTACAACCTCCGGCCGGAGGCATTTGGGCCCCCGAGGTTCGGTAGGAGGCGCTCAAATGCAGCCCCCGACCGTTCCAACTTAGGAGCCAAATGTCGGAAGAGCTCCATGAAGTTCCACCGACTGTCGAGGACGAGTCCCAGGTACTTCATCGTCGTCTCGACGCCGATGGTAACTCCTCCTGCTATTATTTGGGACTCACTCGGAGGTGGCACGTTCCCGCGGCCATAAAAATACGTGGCCTCGGACTTGTGGAGCGCCACCTCGAGTCCCAGTTGCCGGATCCTTTCAACGACTGTCGTACCCGCTCTTGCCGTTATATTAGTCGCCGCCTGATGCGACCTCCCGTGCGCCAGCACCAGTACTTATATAACACTGCGGATACGTTTCACTTTAACTACTCCTCAATCTTTATTACGGCGCCTTATGGTGCGGCGGGGAAAAGCGAGTTCAGGTCGAATAGAATGCAATATATACATATATATACACATATTAATTTCTATGAAGAAATTTAGAGATCCACCTCGCCCGCTCAGTAAAAAGTGCCAAGAAAAACATATCAGACATGTTTCGCTTACCTCGCCTGTTCGTCGTCACCCGCTATCCTCAGTAAGGTCGCAAGCTTCAGCAGCTTGTGGCTGGCTAAGTACGCGTTAGGATCCAACATGAGACACGCCTCTATCAGTGACATCCTATCTTCACATATCCGAACTAAAAATAAACAATAATCTATTGATAGAAATTATCATTTAAAACGAATATTACATATTTTTAAGTCAGTTAATAACATTAATTATTAACACAAGCGCAAACATTGAAGAGTATTTCAAGAAGTATCCTTGTATACAAGCATACAAGTATCGACACCTGACCCCAGAGACACCCCTGTACGGTGCAACCGTACACATTTAAAGTCAGCATTTTTACGCATCGTAATTCATTTACCTAATTATTCGATTTAGTTCGTATCGAGCAATCAAGTCCGCCGTGCGTTCTCATAATTCACATTAGCACTCACGCTCATACAGTTCACTCAATCCATTTTACGTTAGTTTATTATTCTACAATACAAATTATTATTCTCAACTATTGACTTTCATTTAAATCAAGAAAAGTGTGTTTAGTCTACCAAGAGACTATACAACCCCATTGCTCAATGTTTGCTGTATTGTTAGAAAGTGTTTGCCCTCAAAGCGGAGTCCATAGGATGTAGTGTGAACAAATGGAGAAAGTCTTACCTTGAACAGGAAGGACACCCACGTTGAATGAATGCAATATGGGGAGTGCATTGATCAAGTCCAACTCCTTTTGGATATCCGCATTCTCGGCGTTTATAAGTTGCAAGCAACATCTGGAATCAGCGTTCAGTACTATTGCTTACGACAATTTAAGAAAGAAAGTTCAATCTATATCTATACTAATATTATAAAGAGGAAAGATTTGTACCTATTTTTGTATGTTTGTAATGGATAGGTTCAAAAAGAACTGGGCCAATTAAAAAAATTCTTTCACCAATAGAATGCTATATTCTTCCATTTTGACACTTCGCTATCCAAATGATATGTAGCCTATATCATTTGGATAGCGAAGTGTAGAAAACGTAGTAAGCGTAACCGAAGGTGTAGAAAAATGAGCCTTAAAACGTCTTTTGTCGAATGCGGTGCCGAAACTACTAGCGGTAGAACAAAATAATGTACAGCAATATTGAAGAATATCATAATGTCTAAAAAAAACTCCACGGTAGCATATGTCCAATGATTGTAGTTATGTCACTACAAAAATCCAAATTTCCAAAAATAAATAATTCGCTATAAAATAAAAGCCGCTACCTGTACAGTGTTGTCATCCAAACCAAACCCGTACAAAATCTTAAAGTTCAATCAGGCAATATATTTACCAGAAACTTGTACTAGAAAACGAGTAGTCGTAGGAATGCAATGAAAGCATACTTGGCCAACTCCAAGGCCGGGTCGACGAGGCTGTTGGCGGAGTTGAAGTACTCGGTGGCGGCGGCGGACACCAGCGCCACGCTGGCAGGGTGCGGCACCTGCGCGGCGCGCTCCAGGGGGGAGCACGTCAGCACCGAGCGCGCCAGCCTTATACTGCCCGCGTCGCCCGACGTCAGCAGCGCCAGCGCGTAGATCTACACACGGAACTATTCTGCTACTTTTGACAACTTACGGAGTTGAAATGCCGAAATTACATTGCCACGTCTAGTCATCGAAACTATTTTGTTTACAATTTTTTTTTCGTTTTTCAGCAGTTTCAGCACTTTTTCAGCAGTTGGAACATTCACTGCATCTACCTACTTGAAGTAAATAACCACTGCCAGAGCACATATGGTCTGTTAGTGTTAGTTAATGAGTGGAGAAATATTGTAGTGAACATGCTGATGAAGCAGCTCAGGGCAGGAGATTATGACAAGTTCCTAAAGATTGTATCGCAATCACATGAGTGTGATCACTTTGTAGGCCAAATGCTCACATTAGGCCTACAAACTAGACTAATAACTCCCGGAAAACTTTCTAGGTAACTCCCATATTGTGTCCTTCATGATCGAACTATTTGAAAGTAATTGTTTTGCAAATCGAACTATAGTTTACTAAGCCATTAGATAAGTATATCATTGTATTCTCTCGCCAACCCAAGGCGGGAGAAGTCATTGGATGATTTTCCCCCATCAAAAAAAAAGTAGGTATATCATTGTATTAAAATTGTTTCTTTTTTTTTATTGTGGGGTAATATTTCATATTAAATGACAGTTTAACTTGCTTGGGATTACTAAATAAGTCTTGAATGAGATCATCTCTTTTACGATTGTTTTATTTACGACTCTGATTTGTATTTGTTGTTTATTGCTGTCTATTCAATTTTTTTCACGAAATATCTGCATAATATTATTAAATATGCCTTTTATAACCATGATCGAGTACAAATTACGAAAATAAAATAACCCATAAAGTCAAAGTCAAAATCATTTATTTCAATTAGGCCAGAATGGCACTTTTGAACGTCGAAATAAAAATAATATTAAAAGTGAAGCTATTTGCTCATTCCAAGGTGTAGATTCCTATGGAGTCTTCTCCATAGGAATTTCTTGCTCGTTCTTACGAGCAAGAAACTCCATAGGTTATATTATAAAGTAGGTAAAGAGAAGAAAAATGCATTAACGATGTGTCACGAGCGTCTATAATACCGGTATACATATAAACCTAAGGTATTTTATAACATTTTTATTATTAATATTATAATTACCTCGTAGCATTTATCCTTAGCGACACGGCAGAACAAAGTGCTCTGCAGCTCGAGGAGGTCTTTGAGTAGCTTATCCCAGTCTTGCGGTGTTGGTTTTTCTTCCCTATTTTAATATAGTAAGTCCGGAAAAAAATAACATTTTTTTTTATTATACTGCAATTGGAGTATTAAAGATATACTGTATGACTGAAATCCAAAGATTTGTATGACGTAATTTGCAGTTTACACAACACGTTTTACTAGTTCGAGTCATATAGTAAAATATTAGAATACTGAGAGGGACGAGTACCTGAGTGCGAGCGATCGCGCCAACTTGGTGAGGAGCTGCGCGGCGCGCTGCGGCTCGTCGCGCAGGCGCACCAGCTCCCGCGGCGGCACCAGCACCCCGCGGACCGCCAGGCGCTCGCTGCCCGCCACCAGCCGCTCCACGCAGCGCACGCGCCGCACCAGCGAGCTGCTACTGATGCTGCCGTCGCTACGCAACGTACGCTTACACTCATACACTCACACATGCTGCCAGCGATCATTCCGCTCGCTGCCCGCCACCGGCCGCTCCACGCGACGTACGCTTACATCGTGCACTCACCTCTCCTTGAGCAGCGTGTGCAGTAGGTCGCATGCCTTGTCGAGCTGGTCGGTGCCAGTGTGCGCGAACAGACAGCGCTCCACCAGCTCCAGGTGCGTGCGCACGTCCAGCTCGAACTCTGCGGGTGACTGCAGCACCTGCGGGGGGATTATACTGACTCACGAATAGTATGGGGGAGCTCCTCCACGCTGATGTCCCTATGTAACGTTCTTCCAGAAGGAGGCTAGCAGTGGAAGCAGTACTCACGAGTAGTATGGGGGAGAGGTCCTCCACGCTGATGCTCTCGAGGTAGGCGATGAGTCCGGTGACGCAGGAGTCGTTACTCTTGGACAGACTCTCGCACCGCTTCAGGTACGGCACCACGAACTGCTTCAAGTCCGACACGAACGTCTGCGGGGTGGACTGCGGAAACGAGTATGTGCTTTTAACTCACTTGCTACTTAAGGCACAACTGAAAAGTACCAACTCATTCTAATGCTCCTATATTTCAAGGTAGAAGGGACACCCAACAGAGGTTCGGAAAATTTATAGGGCGCATGTTTGTCCTTACTTCGAATCATCTATATTTATAAAGATTTATGTATCACGCTGGAGCCCAAACCGCTCATCCGAAAAATCTGATACTTTGAGGGTGCGTTCTTTGTATGACGTAGGTGAACAATAAAAAGGGATTTTTGTGTATGACCTCTGCTTGATCACGCACTACTTTAGATGATGTTGGCTAGAATATAATAAAAGATGGTTAATGTATCTAAACCATTGCATTGTTCCAAAATTCCAAAAGGTAAATGAGGTAATGAACTGATATGTGTGAACTGAGTGACACGTGGCCTTTGCTGGCCGTAATGAAAACGCCCGACTTGAGGTCTTGAAAAGGGGAATTTTAATTCTGCTTGATGTTATTAATGCGCGGACGAAGTCGCAGGCAAAAGCTAGTATTCACATAAAACAATAAGTTCCTTTACTTCAGTGTACAACTTGGAAAGTTTTTCAGGGAAGTTTGTGCACGCTCTGTGTGAGCGAGGGCGTCATCAAGATAAAGGATCCAAGCACTGAGACTTGACTTACTAGTCTTTGATTTGCCAGCTTCACGCGTTCTTTAGTCAAACAAGTTTCAAGTCATATAGGCAATCTACATATCTACTTAGGATGGACCTTGCTAGTGTTGGGTAAATAGCCAGCTGCTTTGAGTTATTATCGATTATAATCCATAAGTGTCCGTCCCGTATCACTTCCTCAGAAAAGTACCACTAGAAGGCTGTTTCACAAAGCTGATTATAACGCCATTCAGTCAGCACTTGCTTCGGTTAACTGGCAGTCGGAGCTTCAGGCTGCTGGTAGCGTTGATACTTTGGTTAGGAATTTTTATAGAATTATTAATGCAGTAATTGACCAACATGTACCAGCTCGCATAGTGTCGAGCTCAAACCGATATCCACCATGGTACAGCCGACCCCTTATTAAATTAACCAAAGAAAAAAGGAAGTATCACGCAAAATGGAAACGTTACGGAAGTCTCCTGGATTATCAAACATTTTCTAGTCTTCGTAAGAGGGAGCGAAAGTTGCAAAGAGCCGACTATGATAAATTCATAACACTAAGTGAAGATCAAATCCATAAATCACCCAAATATTTTTGGTCCTTTGTGAAATCAAAGTCTCTAAATAGTGAAATTCCTGCAACAGTGAAATATGAACAGACGATTTCTAGCACTGGTGAAGATACTTGCAAGCTCTTCAATGAGTATTTTTATTCAGTTTATATTCAATCCCCAGCCCGTCCCGTAAATTTTGATTTTGATAATCCCCCTTTGAACTCTCAAGCACAAATTAATGTATTAACCGTGACCGAGAATCGTATTTATAAAGAGCTTAAAGCCATCGATCCCAATAAAGGAGCTGGCTATGATGGTATTCATCCATTGTTTATCCGAAAATGTGCAACTGAGTTATTCCCACCGCTAACTATGATCTATACTAAATCACTACGTGATGGTATTTTTCCTACAATATGGAAACAAGCTTTAGTTACTCCAATCCCGAAAGGTGATAGACGAGACGATGTAACGCAATACAGACCGATAAGCAAACTTAACCTAATTGGAAAAAATTTAGAAAAAATTGTAGCGGGTGAGCTCTCACGATTGTTACAGCGTCATATATCCCCAAACCAGCACGGCTTCTGTAAAGGTCGGTCTGTGGAAACTAATCTGCTTGATTTTACCGATTACCTAGTCAATGCTATGGATAAGCGACTTCAAGTGGACGTTGTTTACACGGACTTCTCTAAAGCTTTTGACAAAATCAATCACGATATGCTTATTGAGATGCTTTGGAGAATTGGAGTACATGGTGATTTGCTTCGTTGGATTAGCTCATACATAAAAAATCGCTCTCAAGCCGTATTCCTAAAGGGTTACACTTCTAGTTTCCTGGAGATCCCATCTGGTATTCCCCAAGGATCACATCTGGGGCCATTGTTATTTATTCTTTATATTAATGACATCGGAGATATCCTTAAAAAATCTCATTTTCTTTTATATGCAGATGACCTACATACAAAGAAAGAAAACGAAACGAGCAGGCAAAGGCTCGGTATGTAAAGTGCTCACGTTTTAAGTGGGCCAGATTAGTTTAAAATTGTACATTTATTTACTACAAACAAAGATGATGAAAATGAAGTCTAATCTGACAGTCCTAAGCGTGAAAACCATGGAGGGAAATTTTCAATCACTAAAATAACATTAACAGCAGGGTTATCAGCCACAATGGCTATTAATGGCTATTAACTGAGTTTTAATCGATTATTAGCCAAATGATATTAACCGGATTATTATCATTGCCCATCTCTAACCTTGCTTAAATTATTCTTAAGGGCATGCAACCTATTCCCCATTTGTAAAGTTGGCACTGCCCGGCTCTGTCGTTCAGATGGTACATAATAAGATCCTTCATCGGTCAGCCACGCAGGCCCGTATCGCCAACTTACCATCTTCATGAGGACGGAGCACACTTCCAGCGTGGACATGTTCTGGAGCTGGTCGAGCGAGACGCCCTCGACGTTGACGTCGTAGACCAGCACGTCGAGCGTGGTGAGATGGAACAGCGCGCGCTGTAGGCCGGGCAGGCCGGCGGCGGCGGGCAGGCCGGCGGCGGCGGGCATGCCGGCGGCGGCGGCGGCC